AATTTAGGTGTTAATAAACTGTTTCAGAGGAGCAATCATAGCGCGCTGCATCAGCGCTGCAGTGTGTTTTGAAGGCCTGGTTTCGAAGGGTGGTCTGAAGGGAGAGGTTTGGTTGTTTATGTCCAAAAATATAGCTTGATGGAACCGTTTTTCCAAGATCTCCTAAAACACCTTTAATACTAATACTAATAATAATTAGAAAAAACACTTAAGTTATAATCAATGGATCCAAAAGATCAGTTAAGTTTAGATTAATTTATTATTTGATACCTAATAGTCACTGTTGGGAAGGTAATTGTTCTTTGGAGTTTAAAGGTCTTGGAAAACTATTATTTGTTTGTTTATTGTTTTTTTAAAGACTAAATGATTCCAACTTGTTCTTGGTTTTCTTTAGAGACATGATGGTCTGCTTTTCAGAGACATTTTTAATGAATGAGGCAGTTTTTTTTTAATCTGTTTAAATCTTTTATATTTACCCTAGAATGAAATAAATTGTCACTTGAAAACATGTTTTTCTTTTAACTATTGAGGTTATATATGTCTTTTATTACTATTGGCTTAATCTGAAACCGCTATCAGTGTAGCGGGTTCTGGGGGGGGGCGCTTTTCTCGAGGGTTCATTGGGTTCACACGCAAACATACCTCAGGGTAATTTAGAGAAATCAGTTTACCTAACATGCTTGTTCTTGGGCTGTGGGAGGAAGGGGGAGTGTAGGTGTGTCCCCATCCAGCAAACCCACATTGTCTTTACAATTACAAAAATACTTTTTAAAATCTATACATTTAATATAATATATAATCGAAGTCAAATACCTTGTGTGATTTCGAAAACTGCCTATAAACCCGATTCTGTTTCTCTGTCCTCAAGAAACTCCTGATAGGTTTTGTAACAGATTTCTCAGTTTGATGGACAGCTTTGGTTGTTTCTTTAAGGTCATTGCTGACGTCTTTTCCCCCTTTATGGGTCGTTCACACAAACCAAAACGCTTTAAAGTGACGTGCTGTTAAGATGTTTACTTTTACCCCATCCTGGTTTGGCAATAAGGATTTCCTCCCTTTGTTTAATTGTTTAATATTTCCATGGACATTGTTCAGTTGTTTTTTAATGCGCATTTAAAGATAATTATAATTGCACATGCATTTTATTCCCCTTTTTGAGATCTGTTTTTTTTTTTTTTGTTCTAGCTCACAGGCGTCCCCCTGAACGTGTCCATCCGCCTGCAGCTCAACCTCTACATGAAGAGAGTATCAGGAATCACGTAAGGCTTGGGGATCAATTTTGTCAGCCGTTGTTTATTTTGATATCCTGTCAACAGTTTAAATGAAGGACATGTGACTGAATTATACCTTTATAAACCTGCTTTCTTTGCAGTGATGTTTGAAGTTTTGTATTCTTTGCTTTATAGAGAAACAGGCAAGATTTCAGAGGTGGTGATGCCCATGCTGTGGTTTGAGGAGGTGAGCCGTCATTAAAAGAAAACGCATACAGTGCCTTAGAAAGTTATACTGCTTTTTCAATTTGGGGAAAATGTAATAAGAAAATTTGGTGTATGTTCAAGTTATGCCTAGATTACTAGCTTCATTTATATATAGCTAATTCACAAAACGCCATCTTAAGGCAATTTATAGAGATGATTCAATGGAATCATCCAGTTGGGTTGGTTCAAAGTTTTCCAAGGAAAACAGGCTGATTGCATGAAGTTGTTGACTCTAGGTACAGGAGTTGTTCCTCCTGGATCAGGATGTGGCAAAATAAGTAAGGTGCTTGCATTATGACGTTGAATACAGCAATTCCTAACACTAAACATGCATACGCTACCGTTCAAAAGTTTGGGGTCGCATTGAAATGTCCTTATTTTTGAAGGAAAAGCACTGTACTT